GAAGCCACCTAAGGCTCATATTACCCCAGGGAACGTGCGTCCGTACCGAAGGAGGCTGGTATGGCGGCTATTGGACCCCGCAAGGGGGCGGATTTTACGGTGGCACCACAGTTGTCAGAGGCTAAGGCTCTCAAGCCAACATAAATGCCCAGATGCCTAGACGATCCCCTGTCACATTTAAGAGAGAGTTCAAGTAAGGAACAACCTTGGGAACTCACATTGCAACATTGGAAGGGGGCTCCACCGCCACCCTTTTCCCCATAAGGGTAAAGATCATTGGCCATGTCCATGCCATGCGAGGGGCGGACACATGGCCCGTGAGCGAGAGTCTTGAACCAATCAAGGGAGGTTTTTAACTCGATACAGTCCTTTCTCTCCCATGGGTATAGAGGAGTAACTCCGCTGGAAGGAAAGGCACATAGCCAATAAATTTATTAAGGGGACTCCGGTATATCCGGTGTTAAGAGAAATGTTTTGTAAAAAAAGAAGTCAAAGAAAAAAAAAAATCGGCGATTGGATCAGTACCTGCTTTACTCCACGTGGAGTAAAGAGAGACTAAGATGAATGGAGAAAGTTGCCTGTTAGTTTAATATTTCTGGATGTTTCTGTTGCATTTTGTATTGTATCTTATAATACTTTCCAAGATTATATTATTATGTACTTATATAGAAATAAATTGGGTCCATTCCAGACCCATCCCCTTGTCTTTTTTTTTTTATCTTAATCTATTTTTCTTATTTCCTACCCCATAACTCGGATCTCTCATTCTCCCGTTCCCCCTCTCTCTTCTTTTCCCCAAAACCTTATGTGATCGCTTTATTTCCCCGGACGCGCTTCATTTCCTTTTCATCTCACTTCATATGTCGATCACTTATTCTGACATTTAAACATACCTGGATATCAATGCAGAGTGTGAAATCATGAAGTCGCTCTTCTCGAAAAGCTCTAAGAATGGAGTGAGTATATCCCTACAGGTTCTCTCTCTCTCTCTCAACTTGGTAGCACAGCAGATGCTTCGGGTTTCTCCGTGAGACCATTCACATTGGGACCGCCACTGACTTGGACTCACTTGCGCAGGCTTCCAACCCCCCGGCTACGGCGCCACCCGTGAAAAAGGACCTCCAGGTACCGCAGATTTCACCACTAGAAAAGAGGTTACAGGACATGGGATCCATCCGTGGAGACGGGAGTGACAAGTTTTATGGAATGGAAAATGTATGCCTCGGACTTCCCCGGACTCTGTTTGGATCAGTCACTAAATGCAACGCGCTTACCCTAGTATGGAAACACTTGTTACTGCAACTCAATCCTACAATGTCTCTATTACTCGGTCCCCTTTCGTGAAGCCGTCATTAACTACCCGCAACGGACACCGGTGGAAAGCCTCGAGGCTGCGCTCGCAAAGAACCTACGTTATCAAGACCCAAATGCATACCTCGAAGCCGAGGCGCTGGCTGCCAAACAAAAGGCTTCCTCGCCGCCATCCGCGCGCCAGGCCGGTGTACCCCCAAATCCAAATCAGAAGCCCGAGGACAAGGAATCACCCGAATACAAGAAGAAGGTAGCACTACAGACCCTTCCGATTCTGGAAACCAAGAACAATGCGACCAGTTATGGCATGTCGGAGTCACTTTTCACTTCGCTCAAAGACATTTTCGAATCGGTGGTAGGAAGTCAAGCGCGCATTGGCATCGTTCGCCCGCAACAGTTTCTAGACGTTCTACGACGAGAACATGAAATGTTTCGGACCGCCATGCATCAGGATGCGCATGAGTTCTTGAATCTACTCCTCAACGAGGTGGTTGCCAACGTTGAAACAGAGGCTACGAAGCAAGCTTTCGCAGATAAGGCTTTACCACCAACAGAGAGTGCCGACTCCTTGGGAATGCTGACATCTAGCACGGGTTCGAAGTCACCAAATACTACGAGATGGGTTCATGAGTTGTTTGAGGGTACTCTGACGTCCGAGACCAAGTGTCTCACCTGTGAAAAAGTCTCGCAGCGTGATGAGGTGTTTTTGGATTTATCGGTAGATCTCGAGCAGCATTCGTCCGTGACCTCTTGTCTCCGAAAGTTTTCGGCCGAGGAGATGCTTTGTGAGCGGAATAAGTTCCACTGCGACAACTGTGGTGGACTGCAAGAGGCGGAGAAGCGGATGAAAATCAAACGTTTGCCCCGTGTTCTGGCTTTGCATTTGAAGCGTTTCAAATATACAGAGGATCTGCAGCGACTGCAGAAGTTGTTCCATCGTGTTGTCTATCCCTATCATCTTCGTCTGTTTAACACCACAGACGATGCCGAGGATCCAGACCGGCTGTATGAATTGTATGCGGTGGTTGTTCACATTGGCGGAGGACCGTACCACGGCCACTACGTTGCCATTATCAAGACCGAAGACCGTGGTTGGCTGCTATTCGACGACGAGCTTGTGGAACCGGTTGACAAAAATTACGTGCGCAACTTCTTTGGAGATCGACCCGGATTGGCGTGTGCCTATGTTCTGTTCTACCAAGAGACAACTCTTGAGGCTGTCATGCGAGAGCAGGCGCAAGAGGACCAGGCCTCCTCGACCGCAACAGCCGAGACAGGCGAGGCCCCAAAGCCGAATGGATCCCCCTTCTCACCACCGTTATCTCATGCCCAAAGCGCACCTATGCCTCCTGAGAGCACAGCTCCCTTCACTCCTCTCAGCCGAATTCCAACGGCACCCCCACTGTCTACCTACCCAGAAGAACCCTCGGAGCCCCATCCAGTTTCGCCGCGAGCCGCTCAACCGCCTCTCCCTCCGATCCCTGACGAACCCGCTCCCCCTTTGAGCCCGAAGAAGAGCGATCACCAACTACGGAAGGAACGTCGGGCCATAGAGAAAGAGAAGGAGAAGAACGAGAAGAACCGTCAGAGAGAGCAGGACCTACATAACCGAGAAATCCACCGACGAGAGGTAGAGGAACTGAGAAAAGCCATTGAGGCCAGCAAGGCCGACACGGGCGATTTCGCTGCTGAGAACGGATCACCAAGAAAGTCGAGCAGTTTCGGCTTTTTGAAACGAGGCAGCCGCAGTCTCAGTCAACGACTTAGCAAAGAAAAAGAGCCCCGAGTCTCAACATCCGATCTCCCGGCAACACCGCTTCTTCCAGAAGTTGTGCCAGAAGCTCTACTCAAGGATGTAGAACCATCCCAGCTACTCAACAAACCAGTCCAGCCGATCAAGCCAATCCACTCGGCCCAGTCAATTCAGTCACCCGTTTCTTCTTCCTCCCCGAGGGATTTCCCACCTATTTCCAACCCTAAGCAACCCAAGCAACCCATCCAACCTATCCGGGCCCCCGAATCCTTGGCCAAAGACCAACACACCAACCATACGAAGCCCGGCCATACCCCCCGGTGGAGGTCTTTCAGTTTCAAGAAAGTGTCTTGAACTACTACATACAGTGTTTCTTTTTTTCAGACACTTGTTTTCGCTTTTCATCTCACATCTTCAGCCCGCCTTTCAACGGAGATACCCCTATCATCTTGCACATATGAGCGCAATTTTTGCTTCTGCACATAGCTTCCTTTAATGGATGTACTATCATGTTCTTATGATCTGCGCTTCTCCATCTTCCCATTCTCCTGTGGATACCCTCGATCCGCGGGGTCTTTCCATAGCTATGTCTTTCTAGACTCGGACCCCAGGTCCCGGTTTTCAGTCTCTCTACTTATTTGCTTTGTATTTTTCTTGCTATCGCTTTTCACTGCCAGCTTTTTGATCATGTACGTGATACCTACACTGACAGGGCCGAAACCAGGTTTGCGAAAAGAGGCGTCTTGGGTTTGCTTTTGCTGAGCGTGGGTTGGCTTTGGGCGTTTTAACTGTTTTTACATATTTTCAAGTCTTGAGCGAATCTTCTCTTTAGCATGTCGGATACAACTACATGTGATTCAGTCTTTTTACTGGTCTATACATGGCGGGCCGGTCACGATCCTGAATAAGAGAATAAATACAAGCACGTTTGCTATGCAATTACACTTACTCTTAGCTCCTTAACAAGTAATCCACGTCTCGATGTGTCCATTACAGTTTTGGCATTTTGGGTATATAGGGACAGGTCATAGGTAATCTAGACGAGCTTGCTGAGAGGAAAGTGTGCTACTCGCTGTAGGCCACCACCGTCCCTGTACTTCACCCAGCACAACCAACATAGGTAGACGCCTGGCAGCGGTGTCAGGTCATATTACACCTAACCCAGTTCCACCCCTCTGCCCCCAGTAATCTCCTTGCTCGTGTGGATCGTGGCCGCATTTCTCAGTTGGTGTCATTAATGATATAGAGGTGTCTGATTCTGAATAGCTCGGGGAGTTCATAGCGGAAGTAGTGAACAGCTAGGTCGACAGAGTGGCTATGCAGCTGGCAACGGATGAGGGAATTCGACGCGAGGAAATATCGAGAAAGCGAATTTAACCAAGGATCAGCTCGTAGACAATGATGACCGTGTTGATGACGATAAGGGGTACTGTATTGTGTTAGTTCCGTCGGGCCATGGAGTATCTCGGTTTATGAAAGCGCCGGTTTCGGCTCCAAGATTGAAAGATGCAATCCAAGATACAAGACTGGTCTGCTTATAGGCTGTAGCTGGGAAACGTACTTCGCATCACGGTCCGCACACTGGCGATCAGGTTGACGGATTTGGCTTTCACACTTGTGCTATCGTATGTCGCGCCGAAGCCCGGCTCAGCTTGTGTGCGACCCCATCCGACTGTTTATGTTAGGTTCTTATCTGGACGTGGTGTAGCTAGGGACATTACCGCGAGCTAGGAAGCGGTCTTCGGAGAGGACGGCGATCGCATTGATGATGAGGACGATGACTGGGGATATTAGTTTAAGCTAAAGAATAGATTTAATAGTACATACCATAAACCAGCTTCCCAAGACCGAAGAAAAACATCTTTGCGGGTTGGGGATGTTAAAAGGTGAAGTGCGGGAGGCGCCAGATCTCCGGATTATCACTCTTCTCGGCACCATGGGATATGGTTCGTTCACTTTGTTTTATTTAAGCAGCATAAACTAACTGTTTTTTATAGCATTTGGGATTCTCGCTCTTCTCTTCCCAGCCTTGATCATCATCCATCTCCTCGTCGCTCCTTACACCAAAGTCGAGGAGTCGTTCCATGTCCAGGCTGTGCATGATATCTTAGCCAACGGGCTACCAAATGGGTTTAATGACCTGAATCTCAACCGCGCCGATTATGACCATTTCGCTTTCCCCGGGGCTGTCCCCCGGAGTGCCGTTGGTGCTGCGGCACTCGCTATGCTCTCCAAGCCCGTGATTTGGTTGAATGAGGGGATCAACCGACAGCTATTAGGTACGTGGATTTATACTGCTACACGTCCAAAGCTAACACCAAAATGCAGCTCGAGCTATTCTGGGCCTACTCAACGCCTCCTCTCTCATAGTCTATGCAAGAGGCCTGCGCCGTAGCTTCGGTCAACCAGCAGCTATCTGGTATATCCTACTCCAAGCAAGCCAATTCCACTTGATATTCTATGCCTCAAGGCCCCTATCAAACATGTTCGCCTTCAGCATAACAACACTAGCAATGTGTCTGCTCCTCCCAAGCCCCAGTCCAACCCAAGACCAAAAGCAAAGCAGCCTTGCCCTCGCCCTCCTCACCACCGCAGGTGTAATCTTTCGTTCCGAACTAGCCCTGCTAGTCGGATCCCAGACTCTCTTCCTCCTATCAACAAAGCGAATCAACCTCAAACACACTATCCTGGCAGGCCTAACCGGCCTAAGCATCGGCCTCACCCTAACAATCTACCTCGACAGTACCTTCTGGCAACACTTCCCCCTCTGGCCCGAATTCTCAGCCTTCCGCTTCAACGTCCTAGCAGGCCAATCCTCCGAATGGGGCACAAGTCCATGGCCATTCTATTTCCTAAATTCCCTCCCCCGCCTCCTCTTCAATCCCCTACTCTACCTCCTCGCCATCCCAACCGCCCTAAGACAACCAGCAACCCGAATCCCAGCCTTAGCACTCCTAACCCCGGCACTTTCTTTCGTGGCTATCTACAGCTTCCAACCACACAAGGAATGGCGTTTCATCATCTACATAATCCCCTCTCTCACAGCCGTAGCAGCCCTCGGCGCCGGCTATCTCTGGACGCACCGCAGCCGCTCGCTCTTCGCCCGTCTGGCAACACAAGCCCTGGCCCTCTCGACTCTCGTCGTATTCGTTCTGTCGAATTTCGTTTTACTCCCCGCTTCAGCGGCAAATTACCCTGGCGGCCAGGCTCTATATGCGATGCATCAACATGGGCATTCTGACTCTCCTGTCAATGTCTACCTGGGTAACCTTGCTTGTCAAACGGGTGTAACGCGCTTCTTGCAACAACCACCTTCGTCCGGGTGGGTGTATGACAAAACTGAAGATAAGGCCGTGAAATCCACTGCTGGGTTCTGGGATAGGTTTGATTATGTTGTTGTCGAGGCGGATCAGGAGGATGGGTTTATGGATGCTGATGAGACGAATATGCGACGTGCGCTACCTTCTTCTAATTGGGAAAAGGTGCATGTTGTTGATTCATTTGCGGGGATTTCGGTTTTGAGACCTGGGATTCCTGCTACGGGGATTGCTGAGCGACGTGTTATTAATGCTATTGCGGGTGCGCGTGCTGTTGAGGTGTTTGAGGGTTTGCGCGAGTATGTAAGGTCTTTGTTGCGTGGGTGGTGGGTTGAGATTAAGATGAGACCCAGGGTTCAGGTGTTAAGACGGGTCAGGGAGGGATCTAATTAATATAGAAGTGGTAGACTATGCACTATATTGTAGTATAAAAAGGGCCATCTGGTATGGAACTGATATTAACAATTGAAGCTACAATATGTCCTCACTCAAGTACAAGCAACTGGGTATTATTCATCAAACCTCTGCGGAGCAGATCAAAAACTAGACAAGAGATGGATTACAGTGTCGGGGGACTTTCCAGACGAGCCAGACGAGACTCCAAATCACGCACCCAGGGCTCGACAGTCTCGACGTTAGAGCGTAGAGCAGCTTCGCCCTGTTGCATCTTCTCTTCGACGGTCGTCAGACCCTCGCGCCACTGCTCGATCTCCGACGCCATCTCGGCGTGGCGTTTTTCGAGCTCGTTGAGCGAGTCCGCGGCGTGAGCTGCGCCGGCATGGCAGGCGCGCAGAGAGCGCAGACGTTCGAGGACGCTGGGGAGTAGAGGATGAAGAGACTGGATGGTTGGGAGGGTGGTGTAGAGTGCTTGGATCTTGGCGGCGTGATCGTCGTCGATTGATGCTTCTAGTGCTGGGACGACGTCGGCGTCGGAACTTGCTAGACGGGCGTTGTGGACGGCCTTTGCAGCTTCAAAGGCTTTTCTGCGGGCTGCGGTGAGCGCCTCGGCGTCCGTGGTTAACTTTCGGACTCGTGTAGAGAGGGCTTCCAGGTGTGGGGTTGTCATGCCTGGAGCAGCATTGGCCACTCCTGGTACGGCGCTTGCTGGGTTTGTGCCAACGAGAAGTCCGGTAAGCGCTGAGAGGCGGGAGGTGAGTTGGTCCAGAGCTGGGAGGACTGGGTGCGATGTTGACTCGTTGATGCCGTCGGCGATGAAGGGGTTGGATGAACTTGAGATACCGATGGAGCTTTCGAGGAGCGCTAGGCGGCTGTCAAATGCTGCTGCGTGGGAGAGGATCCCTGCTGAAGAAGCATTTTGGGCTGGCACTGCGGAGGCTGCCTTTGATGCATCCGCCGAGGATTGTGTCCTTGCATCTGTGGCAGAGCGAGTCTGAGGTGCGAGCTTCTGGGAAAGCAAAGCCGCAGCCGAGTGGGATGAGCTCGTCGCACCTCGCGAGGCGTGTAGATTGTCCAGAGCACGGCTCAGCTCCGCAACACCGTCGCCTAGGTTCTCTCCTGACTTTTCAGCTGCTGCAGCACCCTCGGATGGTGTAATTCCAGCATCTGTGCTGTTGTTTTTGTTGGCCATTTCCACTTTCAGATCTTCGACCTCTCTCCGCAGCCGCGCAAGCCTCCGCTCAAGCGACTCATCCTCGCTGTCACTCAGATCCCCAACCTCCTCTACCCCATCCTCGCGTCTCCGTCGACGGCGACGACTGATACTCTTGCTCCGGTAAGCCTGTCGCTTCTGGGAAATGCTATCTGAGAAATTGGCGTCGCGGGCGTCCACGGCGGCGCCCATGAAGTGCATACGCGCCTGGTCCGGGTTGACACCCTCGCGGTCGATGTCGGGGTTTGAGCGTGTATCATCATGGTCGGAGTCTGTGCGGATAGTGGCAGTCTAGAGGAGGTCAGTGGTCAGGTCCGGTGATGCCTCCTGTGGAATTGGCGGACTCACGGGCAAGGTGGATGCTTCGTCGGTCAAGTCGGGCGTTTCATAAATATCTGGGGAAGGGTCCTAGGCCGCGGTCAGTGGAAACTCAAGTGGATATCAAACAGTTTAGCGGTACTTACTAGGTCAGGAAGACCGGCATATTTCTTATTGAAAGACATGATTGGATTGTAGCTCTCTCGTATAGTAAACACTGAACTCTCGGGGCTTCAATCACATGTACAGTCAGCAAATCAGGTGACTTCGAGCCTCGGATTCAGGAACGAACACATGCAATTGACGCAATTGGCCGTTCGAAGTTCATTTGGACCAAGACAACTATATATATTAGGTGACATCGTTGGAAAGTTCTTGTTTCTTTCTTTTACCCCAGTTCTCCAGTCTCTTCAATTGACCTTATAAATTTCCCCCGCCATATCCCCCCGCATTTCATCAACTATATACATCAACCTTTCAAGATGGCCGCCCCTGCTGATGTTACCATCCAGAACCTGAGTGGAAAATGGGAGATGGTATGAATCCAAAGACAACTCTCTAAAACAAAATACTTACACGTGCAACAGGACTCAACCCACTCTAACCCAACAGACCCCCTTCTATCTCTGGTATGCAACCCCAAGCCCTAACCCCTCCATACCCCAAATATAAAACAGCCAAGTCTCATAAACCCCTGACTTCCCCTCCAATCATACATCCCCTTCATAACCATAATTATTATCTGCATTATACATATGTACCATACTATGCAACCGCCACTAACAAACCAAAACAGCAAGGAATGGGCTGGGTTACGCGCAAGGCACTCTCATACGCAACAGTGACCATCTACGTCAAGCAGTACGCCGACGCAGAAGACCCCAAGCTCATCCACGTCGACGCACAGCAAGTAATCACAGGTGGCATTCAAGGCACCAAGGAAGAGCGCAAGCTTGACTGGGAAGAGCGTGAGCACGTTGACCACATCTTCGGCAAGTTGAAGGGTCGTTCCCGTTACCTCGCTGCCGCTAAGGGTGCGGACGGCGTTGTGCGCCCTGTTATCGAGATCCAGTCCAAGGCCGGCTCTGCTGAGAATGATGCTAAGGTGCAAAAGTTCTTGACTGGAGAGACTCTTATTGATGGATCCAAGAGTGAGGGTTTCCTTGCTGAGGAGGGTGAGGGTGCGTTCTTGCACAGCTGGGTCATCAATACCGAGAATGGTTGGACTGCTGAGCAGGTTTGGGGATTCGAGACTGTTGGTGGTGAGAGACGTCACACTCGTCGCGTTGTTATTTGCAAGGATGGGAAGATTGCTACTGGTAGACTTGTCTACGCTTACAAGGATCGCAAGACTGAGGAGTAAGATGCTCTTATGTTTTGAGAATAAGCATTGTATTTTTTTTTCTTCTCTTGGGTTTTCAGTTTCTTTGCTATAAACAGTAGGTTCATGTAGCATCAACTCGTAAATTCACTTCAACGTTTGATCATAGGGAAAGGGTCAAGTTTGGTGATCCGCTCATAACCGAGGGGGAATGAAGCGGGGGAAATGAAGCGCCGGAAGTGCGGGGATTTGATTTCATTTTCGGGAATCAATTTCATTATAATACATGCACTGTTCAAACTGGTTATCCATGTCCATATCCATAAATAGTGTGATATAACAAGCATATAGTTCAGATACATTGAATGAGACCCATGAAGTGTGTATTTTGTTTAACAAGAAAAGACAAATTTTACCATGCGGGTGATCGGCTAAAAGGAAAGGGAAGAAAGAGGGACAAAGACCAGGATATCACGAGTGAGTAGGCATAACCACGGTAGCCTTGGTGCTGATCGCATCCTCGCTCTTCCAGAAGCTAGTCACGGTCTTCTGCTGGGTATAGAACTGCAAGCCAGGCTTGCCGTAGAAAGTGTTGGCACCACCACCGGCGATACTCTTCTTGTTGCCGGTGAAAGAGAACATGGGAAGAGGGACAGGGATCGGCACGTTGATACCGAGCTGGCCAGCCTCGCATTCCTTCTGGAACTTGGAGGCGGTTGAGCCGGAGCGGGTGAAGATGGCGGCACCGTTGCCATATTCGTTGGCGTTGATCACATCGAGGGCGTCGTCAAGGGTCTCGACGTTAAGGCACACAAGAACGGGGCCGAAAATCTCCTCCTTGTAGCACTTCATATCGGGGGTGACATTGGTGATGATGGTGGGACCAACCTGTAGAGGCATAGGTAATTAGTTCGAGTTACACAATACAGTATGTTCTGTAATAAAACTTACAAAGTTACCGTTGGGGTAGTTCTCGGGCTTGAAGCCACGACCATCCAGAAGGATGGTCGCACCCTCTTCCTCGGCGCTAGTGATCAAGTCCTCAATACGCTTCTTGCTCTCGGGGCTGATAACGGGGCCGAGGTCGGCACCCTCCTCGAAGCCACCGTTGACAACCAGGGCCTTGGCACGCTCGGCGATCTCAGGCAGCCACTCCTTAGTCTCGCCGACCATGACACAGGTGCTCAATGCCATACAGCGCTGACCAGCAGCACCAAATGCAGCACCGACAATAGCGTTCAGAGCATGGTTCTTGTTGGCGTCGGGCAGGACGGCAGCATGATTCTTAGCACCAAGGTTGGCTTGCACACGCTTACCATTGGCAGAGCCACGGGAGTAGATGTATTCACCAGCACGGTTGCTGCCAACAAAGCTGATGGCCTTGATAGCAGGCTCATCGAGGATAAAGTCCACAGTGGGAGCGGTACCGTGGATGATGTTGATCACTCCGGGTGGGAAGCCGGCCTCCTTGGCAAGTTCAGCCAGGATCATCGCAGCACCAGGGTCCCGCTCGGAAGGCTTCATGACCAAGCAGTTACCAGTGACAGTCGCGACGGGAATAGACCAAAGAGGAATCATGGCAGGGAAGTCTTGGGGACAATTAGCATCCATGCGGAGGGATTGAAGGTGTTGAGATAAGCAACTTACTGAAGGGGCAGATGGCGGCCACGACACCGAGTGGCTCGCGGTAGCTTCTTGTCTCCATATCCTTTGCCACCTCCAAGACCTCGCCGGTCATCTGGGTAGTGATACCGCAGGCGGTCTCGGCAACCTGAAGGCCACGGAGAACATCACCCTTGGCATCGGCGAAAGTCTTACCCTGCTCAAGGGTAATAGAGGCAGCCAATCGGTCCCAGTGGGTACGGATGAGGCTAGTAAACTTGAAGATAATCTGCTGTCTGGCCATGATGCTGGTGGCCCTCCAAGCGGGGAAGGCCTTCTCGGCCGACTCCACAGCGGCCTTCAGCTCCGCATCTGTGCTCTGGGGCACACGGGTGACCAGATTGTTTGTGGCAGGATCATGGAGATCAATCCATTTGGTTGCCTTGGATGCCACAAACTCATTATCAATAAAGTTAGCAGTGTCAATTGGGTTGGTGATCTTTTGGTGAGTTGTTGGGTATTCAGTAGCGGTGGAGACAGCTGAGGTTGTTGCGGGGACAAGCCGCTGGGCTGTTGCGTGTAAGCGACGAGTGGCAGAGAGTGATAAAGAGGGCACAGCTGCTCCTGTTCTACGGGAGATCAAAGTGGCAAATGAAGTAGTAGTGAGGGATCTCGAAGCTGTGGTTCTGGCAGTCACGGATACCGTGCGGGGAACTCCACGGAGAGCGGGGATGGAACGGGTAATGGACCGACAAGCAGCCATGATGAATTGTATAGAGGGAAGAACAACAGGTGAAATTCAGAGGCAGGACAAGTCACAGACTAAAAAGAGAAATGAAAAGACAATTGGGTCCGCGGGAATCATATACCTAAGGTTACCCCAGGCCCGAGGTCAACCGCCTTAGTCATACGGGCATTCCAAGGTTCCCCACGTTGTACAGACAAACCCCCAGATAAGGTAATTTCCAAGGTTCTCGGCGTTTTCAGCCAATCACAAGTTGCCAAACGAGGTACGAATCGCCGAGCAGCGCCTAATCGCGTATATTGTTTTTCCGAGTCGCATACTAGACGTTGTAGGCAAGTGATCAAGTCAATTAGGAAGGTGTTTCCACTGGCATTTTAATAGCTTACTTTATAATTTACATATTATAGGATTAATCATAGTGATGACATTAAAGCGATTTTGAGAAAAAAAAAAGTGGATACTTAGTAGAAATAGAACAAGTATACAATTCGGGCCTCCAATGTTCTTTATGAACCTACATCGGCCAAGACAAAAGAAGAGGATCACTGCGGTAACTAAATGCAAATCTCTTCGCTGATTGGATTTATGGGTAAAATTGTTTTCTGCGTATAATTGGTTTCCAATTACCCGCATTTACTCAGCGGAGGACCGGGTGGTGCGCTTGGTGGCACCGCCCTTCTTGGTCTCAGCGGAGGAGCTAACAGCCTCTTCCTTCTTCTCCTTGGGAGCAGCGGCGGGCTGCTTGCCCTTCTTCTCGGTCGGGGCAGGGGTGCTGGAGCTGATGGCACCCACAACGATGAGGATCATAGTCAAGAGTAGCGCACCAAGGCCACCGGCGACCTCAGGAAGGGTCTTGGCAGCGTTGATGGGGTCCTCCTTGGCAAGCTCAACGAAGTGGTTGACCTTCTGACGGACGAAAGTGACAGGATCCTCCTGGAAAGTGACGGTGGTACCCTCTTCGTTGACCTCAGGCTTGGGCTTGGTAGCCTCCTCCTCGGCCTCCTCGATAGGGTACTTGACATCGAAGGTCTCCTTGCGGAGCTTCTCAGCATCCTCAACTGAGTGACCAACGTAGATGTTATCGAACAGAATGTCATTCTGCATGGTCCAGATCTCGAAACCAATAGCGCCCATGGGCTCAAGGTTGGAGGGAGTCTTGTCCTCGAAGAATGCGGGGTTCTTGATCTTACGGGGGGCCCAGACACCCTTGTAGGCAGGGTTGTCAATGAGAGGAGCCTCCCACTTGCCCTTGTAATCAGGGTTCTTCTTCATAGGGCGGGTCCAAGGGCCACAGCCAGAGACATCGGCACACTTAGGGTTCGGGATAGTGGGAGCGAGCCAATCTCCATCCTCCTCATCATCCCAATCCTCGGGCTTCTCGGCCTCGGGGTCGGGAATGCTGTCGGCCTCATCCTCCAGCCAGTCGGCGGGCTGAGTGGCCTCCTCATCGAGGATCTCGAAGGGAGCCTCCTCGTCCCAGTCAGCGGGCTTGGTGGCTTCGGGGTCGGCGATCTTGACTTCATCGACCCAGTCGGCGGGCTTAGAGTCCTTGGGGTCGTCAATCTCCTTCTCAGGGTTGACGGGAGGGTTGAAATCCTCGAGGAGGTTGCCCTTCTTGGCGGAGTCGCCATTGATCAGGATCTCAAATGTCTGATCGGGGTTGACGATCAGGGTGTAGAGGGAGGTGACCTTGTTGGTGCGGGCCACGGGAGGAGTCTTAAGGTGCTTCTCCTCGTACTCGCCGGTCTTGGGGTTCTTGTGGCGGAAGATGAAGTGAACCTTGTTAGTGGCACCGCACTTGTCAGGGCCGAACATGACGACATAAGGAGTGCCGTTGGAGAACTCCTCCTGGTGGAGCTTCTTGTTCTCCTGGAGAAGCTTAAGGTAGGCACCGCCGCAAACTAGGGAGTCTAAAATAGGAAAATTCCAGTCAGCACATGAAAACGCGAGATAATATAGACAAATTGTTACTCACTTTGCGGCTTGACCTCGTACTGGACTACCAAGGTCTTGCCCTTGTTGTCAATCTTCTTGGGGAACTTGGCAGAGATAGCGTGGTGAGCAGCAGCGTTCTTCACAACCAGACCCTTATCACCATCGATACCCTTGAAGACAGAGGGCTCCTCAACTGCCCATTCACCAACATAAGCCCACTCATCTTCGGACTTGTCGTCCTTCTTCGCGTGGGAAGGCTTCCACCGAGACTCCCAGTCGTCTGTGAATTGCTCCAAGAAAGGAGCCTTGAGGCTGGTAGGCTTGCAGGTGTTAGCAGGAAGAATTAGAGAGGGTATGTTTTGAGTGCATACAGTGAAGGTAGGCTTCTCAATGACGGTGGTATCCGCAGTCTCCTCCTCCGCATGGGCGTAACCCATAAGGCTTGCGGAGGAGACCAGAGCTGATGTCAACGCAGTGTTAAAACGCATAGTGTAAACAACAGAAATGAAAGTGGAGCGCACAGCACCAAAATCAAGAAAAGAGGAGATGTGGTTTTATAGAAAGCGGACGCTGGGGGGAAGGTCCAGGTGGCCTCTTCACTAAGCTCCCCAATCGGGACTAGGGCGCGTACACACGGGTTTCGATCTTGTTCTACATACAAATTACCACCTATGTTATTATTATATTATTGAGTGATTTACTTTTGTTTAATTAAATGCAGATATTTTTAAATTAATATTTCTAATTAGTTATAAATCAACAGATTTTTCCCTTATAATTATAGCAATCAAATATGGATATTATATGTGCAATACAAAATGTCTCCAAATGCATTGCCGATCTCCCTTACTCTGTGGTTATGTAATCAGGTACACAGTGAAGTTACTATTTACCCTGCGAGATTCACCCTTGTGACCCTGCTCGGTCATTTATAACTTGACTGGATTATTAGGTCAAAACTGTGAGTCCGATACAATTATTGAAATTACCGTGATCCTTTATCTCAATATGTTCACATTGCGGTCTAATCTTAAGTAAGTGGTCATATCAAAAAAGGAAGCTAAGCCATCTAAACGGGCTAGCTCCAAAATATAGTATCCCTTGACACATTGCCCAGAATGAAGATTGACTTATCCACCTAATCTGATAAAATCTGTCTGTTTCAATATTAGCCCACAGTATTCACTGCAGTATCTCCACAGCAGCTGGATAATTGTGTACAGACCTTATATTCAATTCCCCTCGGAACCACGTGTTGATTCTCAGCCTGTGCCCGAAACTACATCGTGCCTTTTATCGTATTAGATATATATGTTGTAGATATAAGCGGCCTATAAGTCACTGATATCGTAAATCTTCAGAGAAATTTGTTGGAAGGTGAAAGCTCTGAGGGCTAAGCGTACCTATTAACACAGCTATGCATGCTTGGCCAGTGTTATCTACCAAAAGCATTAGCTTCTGCGATGATCACTAGCGGTTGTACCCCACAACCTCCACGATCAAGGGTTTACCTCCGTTCAGAGACATCTATCATTACGCAAGAATGATTTAGAGACTCCCAACCTCCATACTGTGCCACATAATATCATGGCAGGTTCCTGCAGCTATGACTGCTCACTGCCTGGCTCACCCTCGGCTGGCACCCCTGACAGTGACATCACAGGAATTGGGGTAAGTCGCTGACCTCTCAGGAGGAACAGAATTAGCAATTGATCGATTCTAGGTCATTGCAAACTATATTGCGACAGCGGGACTTTCCATCCTTGTTATCGCCATCTATTATTGCGTTGTTTACGATCCTTCCAAAGATTCATTCAACATCGCTCGAGAAGAAACAATTCACAGCCAGTCCAACCCGGTAGATGGCTTTATCTTAGGAGGTATTCGATCATCAGCAAGATATGTCTCCAGGCGCTTACTTGGCATTGAACAAATGGGCACCCGTGCAAACGTTCGAATTCAGGTTATGCTGGTTAAAGTGTGTTTATTCTGCGCGAACGCTCATTTCCCTCTTGTATATTCTTGTGATCCCTACTAATGCCAAGGCGAAAAGTGTGTCCTGGTAATGAGTGACCTTCAGACTGTCACTGGCTTCGCGATTCTTGTCAGCGGCTATACTCAACTTGAATGTGGCCTTACTTGGACAGAATGGCGTGCTATTCTCGATCTAGCATGGTTTGCCTATGTCACACAGCTTTCATGCCTTGCAATCTTGCAAGACCATTTTTATACCCATACATTTGAGCGCTTTTGGCGTTTGCTTGCTACGGGTATCCTTGCAACATTGTTGGCTGTTGGTTTGTTATTGACTGCCACCCCTGGGTGGTATGAACAAAATGGCTCCCGTCCCGCTATTTGCAAGCTTGGTTACTATAAAGGTGACAAGGACATGGACGAGTATACTTTACGAGCAATCAACACAACAATTGTCTCAGCAGCCTTTGTAGTGGCTGCTTTTATCTCTCGTGTTGTGAGGCTCCACGAATTCTTGAGTGTCGGAATACTTCGTCGAAGTATCTCTTGGCTTGACTTTTGGATGCGGCAGCTGCTTTGGATCCTTTTCAAGTGGACTTGTACTGGACAGAGTATCTATAGCCTCAAGCGCTCGCTAATATACCGTCCTCTCCTTGCTGTCTACGTTACACTGCATCTGCTATTGGTTTCTTGGGCCTCGTTTGCGGTTGAGGTAAGATTGAAAGGACCTTTCTCACATCAAGTTATCTCTAACATCAAGCAGATATGTTGGGTTTGTGTTGCATTCGCCTGGGGCGTTTTTCGTCTATACCTAGACCTTGGCGGCCAGAGCGGATTCTTCACAACAAGTAGAGAAAACTGGACGTTCGGTCAAGTCGTGTCCGTGATTATGCTAACGGCACCGCTCGTAAGCTTTTTTGGAGCTTTCAATGATGATGGTGAGAATTGAAATATAAGGCTTTGGTTATTCCATTCTAATATCAATTTGAAGCAGATAGCATGAAGAACAAGGAGGACTCGATGGCACGAGATGTGCCAAACGCGCCCACTTTTCCCATACTATCTGGACGTCATAATTCCCAGTATCCTTCCAGCACCATGGAGGCACAAGCCAAGGAAGACCCAGAGAATCCCGATACAGATTGGAGTTTGAACACTTCGTTTCTCGGGGCAGTAATCTCGTACTGCTTCGCGGTATGTCTTGCCATGGCTTGCCTTATCTTTCCCAAGAGCCGATCTTATTCCAGTGTCAGTGTCTCTCCTTTTGAAGGGATCTACGCCGTTGGTAGTACTGCTATCCCGTTGGCATTCTGGGGGTTATACTGTCTGGTTCTTTGCTCCATTCTCATCGAACTAGCCACACCGCAAGATATGCCTTGGCTTCGAAGACTATTACTGGGGCTAATTATCGGATTGCTCTTGGTCGCCTGGACACTGTTTGCGAATAATTTTTCCTTGGCTACCCAGCCAACTCAGAGCATGGCTGTTGTTGGGGTATATTTTATAGGAGTTCTGATATATCGGGGGATTCTGTGGGCAAAAATGCTGTTTTTCAACACCTACGAGAGTACTTCTCGACCAGAGACAGTCTGATGCGATTTTTGATGTCGTCATCTCTCGCAGGAACAGGTCTTCGCCATTTTGCATTACTCCCTCTAGGGCTTCTCGGTTCGGGGTTCCCCTTTATCCCCCTTAATTCTTATAGAACTAGACTGAATACACTTTAGACAATGCATTTAGATTCCCTCTTCCAGACCTTCTACCTTACCTGCTTGGCCTTCAAGTCTCGAGCTATAGTTCAGGTACGTCTTCCCAAAACAGCCACGGATGCCTTAGGCAATATAGTGCCTTAGGCAGAAACACCTCAGCACATATTTCGGATTTTGGTCTCCTTTTCTAGGCTTTTATTTTTGTTCTTATGTAAGTGAAAATAAGAGCTGTTTCAGTTATAAATTATAGTTCATTAATATATTTTATGCCACATATATAATGTGAAGATCGAGATATATGATATATCGAATGGCGTGCTAGATATGTATGAAGATTGTCTGCAGATCTCTACTTTCTTTCCCCCCACTCAAAATATCCATTGGTTACACGGCACTCTAGGCGCAAGACCTATATTACCCGGACGATAACAAAAATTGGTCATTCCTACCTAGGTCCTATTCCCAACTTTGAAATTATCTGCCTGAAGCTACGCTAACCTGCCGCAGCCCATCATGTGCCCCGCAGACCAAACCGTCGCAACGAACAATGACCACTTGGTCCAGTCTGACGACCCCGAACACCCGGCCAACCTTATCCCCGAGCTCTGTCGCAAATTCTACAACTGGGGATGGGTTACTGGTACTGGAGGTGGTGTAAGCTTATCCTGCGAGAGAAGAAAAATGTCGGTGCCCCGCTGATGGAAAAGTAGACATCGATCCGCCAAGGTGACCATATCTTTATCGCCCCGTCTGGGGTTCAGAAGGAATTGATGAAACCTGACAACATCTTCGTGCTTCAATGGCCTACTCCCAAGTATCCTGCCTCGGACCGCAGCTACATCCGCAAGCCCCTCAAGCTCAACCCCTCCGCCTGTACCCCACTATTCCTGACTGCCTTTGAGCAGGGTGCTGGCTGCTGCATTCACACTCACTCACAATGGGCAGTTCTAGTCACGCTGCTGGTGGAGCGGGAGAAGGGCCCTGATGCTTGCTTCGAGATCAGCAACATCGAGCAGATCAAGGGAATCCCTCGCGGTAAAGGAAAGGGCATGCTTGGGTTCTTCGATACTTTGAAGATTCCCATTATTGAAAACACCGCTTTCGAAGAGGACCTCACGAGCGGTCTGGAGGCAGCTATGAACAAGTACCCGGACACATACGCGGTGCTTGTCCGGAGACATGGAATGTAAGTAATAGCAGCATCATTCCATTTGATACTAATATGTATACCAATACTAATTCATCCTGCAGTTACGTCTGGGGTGATAACACTGCCAAGGCGAAGACTCAATGTGAGAGTCTGGATTACATCTTCCAACTGGCTGTGGAAATGCACAAGCTGGGTCTCCCGTGGGTCAAATAGATACTGCGCGGTTTCTAATGACCTGGTTATGCCAATGATCGGTTGAGCTGGAAAAATCTTGGATATATTACCCCGATATTGAGAAGCTCAAATTGAAATGATGTGACGTATTGCGACATGGGACATCTAGAACAAGCTGGCCAGGGGCTGTATAGAGGTTATCGGGTACTGAGTGGTGTCGAGTGGACTGAACACATTATAAACATAAATAAATAGCGTCCAGTTTATCAAAAAGCAGTGCCAATGGCAAAGTAGCTGAACAAGTCAACGGGAATTGGCCCCAAGGTGGACTGGATCCCGTGAGTGACTAAGGATGCGGTGCGGATCGGCCTCCACTTCAACCAGCTCCCTCTCCAACTCCATACCGCACCCTCTAAGCTCCGATTGAAACAACATTAATATTAATCTGATTGATCTTCTTGCCATTGCCCTATTCCTTTCGCTTCGATCTCATACCGGTAACAATGGATCTCGACTCTGGTGATTCTCCGTGGGGCGGTAGGCAGTCATGATACCACAGCTCTTGGAATCGCGGTCTGATTTATGATGCAGATGAGCCTTCACAGTTTAAGCCCAGCGATGACACCTCTAAATCAGGCACTCAGGGAGGTGGTATGTTTTATTCCGCTTGTCCGCTCTTTCCACGACCTCCCACTAAGCGCACTCTACCATACAGCAGCTGCACAAACCCCCGCATCGGACAGCTCGCCTGCTGTCCGCGTACCAGGAAGAAGAGGCCCCCGAGGGACACGCAAGATCAGCGCCCAAGCCACTAAGCTCGAATCCGTCGATAATTCCGTCGACCCTCTCGGTCCATTGGGAGAAGCCCCCGCCGAGGCCACCCCAACACCCACAGATGAGGCACCAGCACCGCCTCAGAAGGAGCCATTCGCCGGACGTGGCGCGCGACCACTCTCCTCTCCCTCCCACGTACCTGGCGGAATGGGCGCAGCAGACTCGGTCAATGTAGAAGATGAGAGCGCGGTGTTCCGAGGACCCCCTCCCGTGCAACCGCCGGTGCAAGCCGATGGACCAAAAAGACAGACGCAGCCTAGCATGAGCGTGGAGCAGGCTGCGAAGCCGACTTTCCAGATCTATGTCGGAGATCCGCACAAAGTGGGAGACCTGACAAGCAGTCACATCGTTTATCAAGTTTCGACGAAGGTAATTGGACTACACAGACCTGAAACCTACAGATTGGAAAAGAAGCTGACAGTAATTGGTATCACTAGACAACATCTAAGGCCTATCGCCAACCCGAATTTACCGTCAGCCGTCGATACCGCGATTTCCTCTGGCTCTACAACTCCCTGCATGGCAATAACCCCGGAGTGGTTGTTGCGCCCCCGCCTGAGAAGCAAGCAGTTGGCCGGTTTGATACCAACTTTGTAGAGTCGAGGAGAGCTGCTTTGGAACGAATGCTTAACAAGATTGCCGGCCATCCTATTCTTCAGCATGATGGGGATCTGAAAATCTTCCTGGAGAGTGAAGCTTTCACCGTTGATGTTAAGAATAAGGAAAACCGAGAGCCCGATATTGGCCAAAGTAAGGGAATGCTGAGTTCCTTTGGTATTTCTGTTGGTGGAGGAACCAAGTTCGTGGAACACGACGATGTAAGTGAATCGTTTCTGATACATCAAGTTCGCCCGCTCACATGTAGGTAGTGGTTCCACGACCGAAAAATCTACCTGGATGCATTGGAGAACCAGCTGAAGGCTCTATTGAAAGCCATGGACACTGTGGTTCTACAGCGGAAGGGACTGGCCGAGGCCGCAGGCGACTTTTCGAGCTCATTGCATGCCCTATCTGCTGTCGAGCTGTCTCCTGCCCTCTCTTATCCATTGGAAGGCTTGTCAGAACTTCAGTTGCGCATTCGGGAACTTTATGACCGACAGGCACAGCAGGATATTTTGACGCTTGGAATCACGATCGATGAATATATCCGTTTAATTGGCAGTGTCAAGATGGCTTTCACGCAGCGACAAAAGGCCTTCCACACCTGGCATGCAGCAGAGTCCGACATGCAGAAGCGCAAGAATACCCAAGACAAGCTACTCCGCCAAGGCAAAACTCAGCAAGACCGCTTGAATCAAGCCAATGCCGACGTTGCAGATGCAGAGCGGAAGGTTCACCAAACGCGGCTGCTCTTCGAGGATATGGGCCGGCTTATGCGGAGCGAGCTACAACGTTTCGAGAAGGAGAAGGTAGAGGACTTCAAGTCCGGCGTGGAAACATTCCTTGAAAGTGCAGTTGAAGCTCAGAAAGAGGTAAGTTTTTGCCGATACTTGCGGGTTTATTTCATCCAGCTAAACCTGACTACAGTTGATCGAGCTCTGGGAGACATTCCTCCTTCGTCTAGACGCTGGCGAGGAAGGACTTCCGTATTATGTGCCACCCGAAGCGAGCGACGCACCTGCTCCAGCAGAGCCCACAGGGTCAGGCCCTGAATCGGGACCAGTGGCCGCTGAGGATGGTGCTTGATATCCTGGATGCTTTTTACAACTCCGTAAAAGCGCCGCTTTATCTCGTCTTGGTTTGTGTTCATTATGGGACAACCCTCCAGGGCTTTCGCGATGTTTATGTCATGCAACTGATGATGATTCTCAGCAAGCTGATGGGCTTTGTGTTTTTCTTCTATTTCCGCTTCATTCCGAATACCACTGTTCGCGTACTGTAGCAAATAAATTCAATATCTGTCCTAGTCTGTTACACATCTTCCTCTAGCCCTAGACCGATGCTTGCCATAGACCACCCTCATCAAGCACTGAACCATAAACTTGATGCTGGGTGTTGCTCCGGAAGTGAAGTGATGAATGGTAATGCGCGAGTTTACTTTCTCTTAGTCCTTACTCCTTAGGGCATGAATGTTATATGGCGTCTATATATTTTGCAGCCAACTCCTCTTTTTCTTTAAGCCATAGCACTAATAAGAATATAAGAATCAGAAATATATAAAACGATTTATATCTAAGGAGATACCTGACCATACCACCAAATAGACTCACGAATATAACATGGATGAAAGAAAAGATGAATTCTTGGTATAATACAGCAGGCACATACCATGCAGACATATGTATATTGTACAAGATCAAAAACAAAAAAGAAAAGAAAAAGAAGATCCCAACTCCCATCCAATCGACAACCACCTGATTCAACCCGATCCAACCACTATTTCTTTCCGAACTTAGGAGCCTTCTTCTCAGGCGGGGGCGGCGCCTCATTCTGTCCGAAAGCACTAATCAAATCAAGCAAGTTGTCCTCCTCCTCCTGCTCCTCCTTCGCCGCCTGAGCCTGAGCCTTAGCCTCCTGCTCCGCCTGCTTAGCAGCAACAGGGTCCTTAGCCGCTTCTTCAGCAGCAGGCGCGCTGGCATCAAAGCTGCGACCGAATCTAGCACGGAAAGCAGCGAGACGACCGGCCTCATCATCCTCGACGTTCATCAGCTTGCTGCTGGACGGGTTCCAGAGAAGGGAGTTGCGCGTGTCGCGCGTGGAGCGGTAGATCGGGGCCGGGGAGGTCGTGCGGTGCGTGAAGGTGCTGCCGTCCGAGAGAGTGATGAGCTGTGTGAAGGTGTAGGGGCGCTTGGGGCGGCGGAGGAGAGTTGCGTGTCGGCATTGAGAGCAGATGAAGGTTGTGCTGCTCGTGGGGAGTCTTGTAGGGAGGATGGTGGTTGTTGAGTTTGTGATTGTGGCCGCTGTGCGGCGGAGGGAGGTGTGCATTGACATGTTGGATGGACTATTCGGCAATGCCGATGTAGACAATAGTGGGGATTGTCGAGGTGGGAGGAGGTTGACGGGGCCGCAATGCTATCGGGGAGGTTGCGGAGGTTGTGAAGTTGATGCTATAGCAGAGAAATTATCGCGGGTTATGTAAGCGGGTCTCTTTCGGGATTTTCATAACTTCAAGGTTTGGACTTCATATTGCCCTCGCTGTGAGTCTCTCTTTTTATCTGGTGATTTAGATATGAATTGGCAGAGTCTGGATATCTGTGAATTTGTGCCCTGCGTGATCCCTTGAGCGCCTTTCAAAGCTCCGTCAATTCCAGGCCGACGGGATGAAGTTCGTCTTTCCAGTCGTGCATCGGAGTGCTCGGACAGGACTCGGAGGTAGTAGTTTGTGATGTATTTCCAAGTGCTTCTGTCAATTGTACTAATGGGGACTATTAGAATTACTATGCATTAAGAACTATACACCTTTGTTCCTGGGAACATCTTCCTCCCTCGGAACTTCTCTGCCTGTACCATATACCCAATACCGATCACGATGCGATCAACGACGATATACCAGCAATTCCACGGCCCCTAGAAAAGAAGATGATTGTACAGGGAAGGTCAATATCCCATGCAATGCGCCAGCACCCTCGACATCTATATCCGATCAAGTCCGCCTCCTCATGCGTCGAGTCCCGTACCCCGTCGCAATAATAACAGCAACCGATCCCTCCGGCCCAGAAGACACAACCTCCTTCCGTGGCATGACCGTCTCCTCCTTCAATACTGTCACTCTCACCCCACACCCTGTGATCTCATTCAACGTGCGTCGCCCATCGGAGACATTGAATGCGTTGCTTGCTTCGCGCCGGTTTCTGGTTCATTTGCTTGCACCGACCGAGGCGACTGCTACCCTAGCCAGGGATTTTTCCAAGGGGAATGTCACCCTCGCTGCTATGTTGAGCGGACATGGGCAGTTTGAGTTCGCGGCGTTGCCTACTGAGAATGAAGAGGGACACCCCCAAAGACCACTTCCTATTCTTAAGCGGAGACCAGAAGCAGTAGCTGCGGATAGTGGTGTCGACTTTCCTTTTGTTTTTGAATGTACCCTACATCCGCATAGGATTGATGTGCATGATCACTCAATTGTGCTGGGTACTGTTGTTCGGGCGATCGAGGGCTCTGAGTCTGCTCCGGCCCAGGGACTGGATGACAAGGTCTTGGATGAACATTCGCCTGAGCGACTCTGTTTGGCGTATGCAAATACCAAGTTTTGGAAAATGGGGGGTGAAATTTGAATGGATGAAGAATGCTTCATCGCTTATGCCTTCCGGCAAAGCACTGTATATATACTTGGGAATACGGCGTTTGGGCTGTATATAGACTTCTTATTAGACATATGGTATCATCTCCGAATTCAACGGCCTGTTCACTATGTGGTTCCTACAGTAGACATGGAGAGATGAATGTGAGAAATGCTTTCATGACATTGATGCGTCTACGCTTTTTGTGTGAGGGAGTATACAAGGACTGAGTATGGAACACTTTTGTTTTTCGGTGTTAGGAACAGAGCTGCCATGTATCTCACTTCGATCGAATCCGTATACTTGCTATCTCATCGCGAGATGCATGCCACACTGCAATGACGAAAAGGCCCAAGAAACCAAAGGTCATCATAGTGAAGGCCGACGAGAAAGACATTGACTAGCACAAGGCGGGAATCCAACCAGATGGAACCAAATGTACGGACGCACAACACTTGAGGCCACTTCTCGAAAGACAATAATTGAGGTCAGGCACCAGTTAGATAGCGCAGCTAGGTATGAGAACCACGAAAGCAACCGCCAGGAGAGTTAATCTCGCGACGAGTGCGGACTGCCGGTCCCACTGCCACTGCCACCACTACCACTACCAGTGCCACTACCTCGACTTACTGCTCGCTGGAAAGGGCTCAAAACCGGACGGCCACCTTGATGCAGGAAACCATTTCCATCAGACCCAGGGCGAGGCTTGGTCTCACCAAGCAACTCGGACAGGTCAAGCTGGAGAGCTGGTAAGCGGTTCGCGTCCAAGAAGTCAGAGCCGTATTGGCTGCTGCGAGTGGAGCGGTTGGAGAACGAACGGTCTCGGTGGTTGATGTTGATGTCTGGCCCGAAGTATGAGCCCGCGTTTCCGATGGGAGAGGTTGGAAACTGCGGGAGGAATGGAAGATCTTGCGATGGGCTTGTTGGATTTGACGGCATTTCGTAGACCGGAGAAGACGAGATCTGTAGGGGACTAGACCTCGCAGGAAAGCTGAGACCCCCCAACAGAGAGCGAGCGCTAGGTGCACTGGTCGTAGATGCGTTGAATGACGGGCCACTGGTCTCGGGCATAGGATTGGTTCCTGGCAAGTTGCCTTCGGGGGTGAGAGGACCAGACTCGAGGAGCATCTGCTGCTGCTGTTGCTGAATGGACTGCTCAATTGCAGTTGCCTGCTGCCAGAGTTGACTTGTGCGCAGTTGGAAATCCTGCACAGATTGGCTGATGCTTGCAAACTGCTCATGGAAATTAGTCTCCATCTTTGACTGGTCCTGCTCTCTGGCAAATTGTTCGGCAGCACGACGCTCTCTCTCATTCAACCCTTGCGCATTGGCCGAGATAATACGCTCATACTGCTCGTTCACCCGGGTGCGACGACCCTGGAGACGCTCTCGCTTCTGTACAGCCTGGGTCAGTTCCAATTCCAGTGCCGCCACCTGCTGGGCTGCAGCTGTCCGAGCAGCAGCCACCTCTTCCTTCGTCAAATTGAAAGCTTCCACCTCACGTTCGAAATCCGCTTTGTGGGCCGACCACTCCTCCATCTCCTCCTCCGGGACATTTTCCATGTTGTCGAGTTGTGCCTCTAGCATCGCAGTAGCCTCTTCGGTTTGTCGGATGTTGCGTTCTAGTTGAAGCGAACGCTGCTTTTGGCGATTCTCGTCATTTCCACTGTGGAGGCGAGTATTGAAATTCTCGAGTTCTTTTCGGATTTTCGAGATAACAGTTTTGTGGTCGTTCTTCGTCTTTTTCAGACGGTTGCGCTTTTCATTCAACTTGGATTCCGCATTGCTGATAGAGTTCTTGAGCGTCGTTGTGGGGGATGATGGACGATAGGTCGGCTGTGGGGGTGTCGATACCGTGGAAATAACTATTCAAGCAATGAGATGACTGAACAAAAAATGTTTGTAAGTTAACGTGTACTTACCTTGCTCCGTGTCAGTCGTTGTAGGAGTCTTGACACTCATGACACAAATTTCCTCGTCAGTATCGCTTCGTACAAATGCACATGTGTAAGCGCAGTTGGGAGCAAGCCCAGCGATCTCGCCCCGCCATTGGACAACACTCGGGCCCTTGGCATCTGAAACCCGGCATATCGAAGCGGTAGCCCAGAGCGCACCATTGACGCAGACGTAGAACGGTTCCATATCTCCTCCCAAACGGCCGGCTTCGAAGGAGCCCGACACAGCGGGGTCATCGGCAAATTCGCCCGCAGCGAATTTGATCGAAGAGCTATCCACATCCGTAATCCATATTAACCCGTCGTCGAGAGAAACACCCTGCAGATCCTCCTCCGTCATTGTAAGATTGCGGGCTGTCTTGGAAACAGCCCGCGAATGTTCATATTCCCTCATCACCGTGACCTTTGTACTGGCAAGCGCAGCCCAGAACGGCTGTCGACTCCGAACTTGATTGGCTTGCCGCCTGCGTTTCTTGGCTGAGGTAAAACGATCCTTTCCGTCTTTCAACTGACCATCAGGTCCCACAAAAGAAGATGAGACACTTGCAGCAGATTCCAGAGCAGAATCAACCTGTCCTTGTGACCCCGCAGAAGCCTCCGTATCCCCCCGCTTGCCGGTCCGTAACGGTGTCGGTGAGCGATTCTTGGCCATCGAACGTCGTGCCATGGCAGTTCCAGCTTGTGCTAAGATGTGCACGGCAAGAAGGCTGCGAAGCCAGCTCGGAGACGTTTGTTCTTCGGAGCGTCGGAACTCGGCGGGTAGCAGGTGCGAATATTGGGAGAGGAGATCGGGACTGAGCAGTTTAGCAGAGACAAGATGACCCAAGACAAAGTCTTGGATGCCTTTACTGCGAACAATATGAAGAAGCAGAACAATTCCGACACAGAGAGCATTGACCCCGCCGTTCTTTCCGGAACCCCCGCCACCCAAGGTGATAGCAACCTGGACATGAGCGAGATCGATGGCAAAGTTTTGCGCCCAGGTCCACATGAAGAGGCCCCAGAGAAGTATGCAAAACCCATCCATCGCGATCATTGTCCCCAGAGATGGCGTCCCCGCCGGACCTTGAAAAATATCGAAGTTCGACGACAAAGAACCGGCCGCGGCGCCACTTGGGGGCATGAAAGTCAGAGAGGCGAACAGGAACTGAACCAGAGTCAAGACCATCGGTGGAAGTTGTAGCAAAAAAATCAAGATGGCGATGGTGTCGTACATGGGGCACGATTTGAGGATAGTGGATGCGAGCTGGAGGGGATTAATCGAGGCATTGGATCCGGATCGTTTCGGGTTTCCATTGCGAGAGACATGACCCATGCCACCATTCTGGGCGACATCGCCGTTTTCCCCCGCGGATGCCATTTCTCCACCCTTGCTATGTCCATTCAACATCCCACGCACATTGCCATCTGCCTTTGTGGTATCCCCTTTGCCGGTAACTGTCGGAGATGTCACGGACGTATCGCTAGTAGACCGCACGGAGGATAGATCGAATTGAGCAGACGCGCCCGGACCGGTAGCAGAGCCGTTTCCCGAGTTGCCGTTCAGATGGCCGCTTGACTTTTGCTTGGTTACTTTCTTGCCGGGACCAACAAGGCCATTCTCCTGCCGATTGCTCTGGTTCTTCCTAGCTGCAGCGGAGCGTGTCATGGACAAGGGAGCCCGAAACCCAGGTCCGAGTCAGCTTGGCGGGATGAAGCCAAGGACTGGGACCAGGAAAAAGGCGAAAACGGACTAAAATTGAATATAGTGGGGGAGTGAGATGGTGTAGATTGGTTCGTATAGTAATGAAGATGAGAAAGAAAAAGGAAGTAAATGTATAAGGAAAGTGAAAAAAAATGAGAGAAGGACAAGAGACGACGCTCTACGTGGAAGCGTGAAGGGGAAAAAGTGCCCAGGTGGAATAATTGTATGAGGTCGAAAGAAACAGAATTGGTATTGGTATTGTCATTTGCCGTCGATCGTTGATGCCTTTTGGGTAGGCGGTACCTGGTTTCAATACCATCCGCCACTATTTTACTTTGGTACTGTGTACTTGGACAATGGCAGACGTGCAAATTTCAGTTAGAGAGCTAATGGTACATAATGTAATCTATTCCAGTGGCTTCTTTGTCGATCTGGAGGTTCTGCATGGAAAATCTCATTTAACAGAGCCCAACCCACATGCACTGCCAAGCTTTCTTGCTCTGAACTCCGTATCTTACGATACTCTAGGGCTTATTGACAGGTCACGCCCCCTAGAAGCTACAACGGCTGCAGTTGCCAAGTCATGCAACGCGGATACCTACACGTCGGCCAATCCTAAACATGTCGCTTTCCCCAGGCAATTTTACGATACCGAGTGGTTTCCGTGGGCTCGGCACGATGCGGACTTCCTTCAAATGGGGTTGACTAGTGCTGATAAGCTGGAGACTACGGACTACAACCGACGTACTCCGTATAGATCAACTTGAGAGTCTGTTCAGACCGGTCTCTATTCGTTACCAGACTGACTCACTAGATTGACGATCGACCTTTTTTTGACCCGTCTGCTGCGGGGTCGTCCTTGCGCCAAACCTATGGTGGGTGTTATGAACTCAGATCATGGTGTGGTTATTCCTCGTTGGGAGACTTGCAGACAAATTCACCTGCAGGTATGAACACGCAACACCGAGCATGGAAGCGTCATAGGGATATGGGGAACTGAAGCTTGTGTTTCTCAAACGTGTGTATTAACGGGGTTGCCCACATTCTTACTAGGATCATCACATGCTCGGCTATCTCGTGCATCTAAAGGGCTCCGCACATACGATCCACAGATTTACTTTGAGTATGGGTCTATAGATCTTCAGTAAGGTGGTATTTGAAGATATATCGAGATTGACTACACTCAATATCTATATCAAGAGAATATAAGTAGAAAATAGTACAGTCTTGCCAATTCCGATCCCATACAATACCGAGGCTTGGCAAGGTTTTGTAGATCAGCCACAAACTTAGTAATGATCGGCCCGACGGGCTTGGTGCTTAGGTTCCTTGGTTATTTTTATATTTCATGTATATTATAGCACCTCATATTTGTATATCCCTCGCTTCTTTCTTTGCTATTTACATTTCTCTAGTCCAAAGTCTAGAAAGAAGAGAAATTGTATAGTTCGGTGAAAATTGCATTCCATTTTTAGCGTATTTGGCTAGTCTATTTTAGGACCGGATTTTGCTTGGGTCCGATAAACTTCAAGTTTTTCAGGGTCGATCAATTCTTCAGTCTCCGTATTTTGGGTCTTCACAATTTAGGGGGGAAAACCGTCTAATTCGACTAGATTTTTCCCTGTAGAGGATACTAACTGCTTGCTCAGATGTTATCCCAAATCTAGACGTGGAACTTGATAGAGATCGGATCAGATGAAGAATTTTCTAGTTCGTGGGGTCCTTGACCGTTATTTCGGTTGATGAAAGCCGAGAGTAAGACCAGCAAAGAGGCAAATGCACAGCGGGATCTATTCGGTTGATCTCACTATGTATCTCGTTATTTTATTAAATAGTCAATGGTGCCTAGGTTCATTTGATGTTCGAAGTATGTGGTCAATGTAACTAATGTTATGCCCAGTCCTAGAGTTGTGGGAGTCGATCTTGATAATCCGTCTTCGGTTCACGCCATATCCGACCTGACTCTCTCGCTTGGTAACCTTGGAAAGTCCAACCTGGTCTTCTAGAAGCTCGTCTTCCAGAACCGTAAAACCGCTTGAAATACCATCTATCGGAGGTTTCAAAGCCTGGTTTTGCTTCAAATGCCATTCAGTAAACAACTTGCAAGATCCAGCTCCGTTCATCTTTATCATGTCGAAGTTCCATGACGCTCTTGTTACTTAAGTCTCAAATGTTGAATAGACCACTCCCGTCGGGCTGGTAGATTGGAAAACACGACCACTAAAGGATCTCAGCTCCCATGCTGTGCCTACCTGCAAATATGTCGGAACATGCCACTATGAGTGCTCAGAAGTGTTAAGAGGGGTTGTTCAATAGATGTGTTCGGTAGATTCTCCCCTTTATGAAAAAAATTGACGAAATAAATATTTCAATATGCGAACGACATTTTCTATACATGAAGTAGGTAGGAGACGAAGGTGGAGTCCTGCCCAGAGGTCCACCTCCAGGGCTGGACAGCCCTGCCGAATGGATGATTACTAAGAAGGCTGGCACGCCCCACGGCCGTTCAGGGCCATCTTGGTTGCACCCAACCGGGGCAATTCTTATAACCAAGTACTCAGGTCGCCGTTGCCCACAATTCAATTGCTATTCAGAAGAATCTAGGGGCCAACATATAAAATGTCACAACCTAAGTCCACATTTCTCTCACGAGAGCCCTTGGTATGTATTTCTAACCTAACTATACTCTCACTCTCAGCTACTTATAGCAACTCACTTTAGACTTCGCAAGATGCCAAATGGAAAAGACTAGTCAAAACAAACTACATCGATCCCCATGGAGTTAAGAGAGACTGGGAGTCCGCTGAACGCCAGGTATGAATTTTGAGTTTATATATAAATTCAACTGTAACGACCTAATCAAATCGTAGACAAGACCGACAGACTCCCATGTCGACGGTGTCAATATCGTCGCCATTCTGAATAAGGTGAATGGCTCCGAGATTCTTTTGGAGAAGCAATACCGGCCTCCCATCGACCAAGTCGTCATAGAACTCCCAGCAGGATTGATCGATGCAGGGGAGACAATTGAGCAAACTGCAGTTCGAGAGCTGAAAGAAGAAACTGGGTACATCGGCGTCGCAGATCAAACTACTGGTATCATGTACAACGGTTGGTGGACCCATTGTTCATATTACTGCTGAGTATTAGCTGACTAGATATATATATACAGATCCCGGCTTCTGTAATGCCAATTTCCACATGGTTTACGTTCAGGTTGATATGACTCTTCCGGAAAATCAGAACCCAAAGCCTGATCTCGAAGATAATGAGTTTATTGAGTGTTTCACACTTCCGGTCTCGGAGCTTTCCGCTGAGTTGCTAAAGTTGGAGAGTGAAGGGTATGCGATTGACGCCCGGGTGGGGTCCATTGCGGAGGGGATTGAGATTGCAAAGAGGTTGAAGCTTTGAATTGTTTAACCAGCGGAGTTGAAAGGTTATTTCAAGATTTACTGTCTTGCTTAGATTTGTAGTGGTGCCACTCCATCTCCTCATACCAGTCTGTCGGCGGCGAGTTGTTGAGCCGCTATAATACCTAGTATCTCTGCCTTAGCGGTGATCAGCTGCTTGTGGCGTCTAACGATGTCTTCCAGGATATTATCGTGGCCTTGAACTTAAACCTGTGGCCTGAGGTGGAAAACGGTTAAAAAAGACTTAATTTGCGAAATGGACTTAGTAGCTATATATCCAGTGATTTGCCTTGTTTTGGTTGAGTATTTGCTGAATAGCAACGCGGTCCTTTTTAATGTGAAAGGCTTTGTCTGAGGGATGCTCGGGCACAGGGAGGTTCCCAACTATGCTGGTCTCATCGTCGTACTTGTACACACGCATGTACATTTCAATGGCAGCCATGCCATATACTGGTGTAGGGTTGATATGCCGTCTACCATGAGTTGCCGAGAGGTACTGGTTCAATTGCCCAACAGCTTCGACCTGGGTTGATCTTCGCTTTTCTAGGCCCATCCTCTTGCATTGCACAACGAGGGATTTGTTGGGTTGGTGGTGCTTGGCGGATACTGGTACGTGTGTACGTCAAAAAGCCCTTCCCTCAATCCTTCTAGACATAGACCGGATGAAAGCATCAATCTGAGATCGATCAATAGGTCTCCAAGCAACCCGAATTGCAGTATGGAATTGCTTCCAATCCATTTGAGCCCTGCATACGGAGCTCCGGATAGAGTTTAAATAGCTTCTTTTTCACGAGGAACCGAACGTTCTCAATGTGGAATCCGACGAATTTCTGACGTATGAGATTCCATGGCATACGCAGGCTCACGCCGTACATAAGCTTGTGCAGCAATTCGCCATATTATCTTGCTGAAAGATAGAACCAGGTTCGTACCTAGGTAGGTATACTCACATGTGGGACCCTGGTGCCTTCTAGATTGGAAGATGATTCCAATCATTCATTAGGCAACCGTAGAGGGAAGGATCGACCAAAGGGTCTGGTTTTATATGATAACCTTAAAAAGCTTGCATTGGAGGTTGATATATTTTCAGTGATCTTTTCAGTGGTCTTTTCAGTGGTCTTTTCAGTGGTCTTTTCAGTGGTCTTTTCAGTGGTCTTTTCAGATATCATTCTATTTACATGTGTTATCCACGGCCCTATATGATGCATTCTTCAATGTTTCTATCCCAATCATTGCGGAGTAGATCCGTTGTCCTCCACAGCATCGACTCTATCCCAACTTTCAAGCTCAAGATTCCGAACCCGATTTTCGATCTCAGCAATATGCTGCCTCCAGTTCTCCCTTTCCTGCTCCTGCTGTTTCCAGATGGCCTCAAACTGCTCCATGACAAACGGCGGAATATTGACCGTCTTGCGGTTCTTCTTGTAATCATAGATCACAATATCCTCAAAGCAACGAGCAGCAGGGCGTTGTCGGGCCTCCGACAAGATCATGACTTCCAGTCGGAATGCCGATTGGGATGAAAGATGTCCAGATGTATCTGGGATTAGCTTGTGGTACACGGAAATTTTGTCTGGAGATTCCATGGGCTGCGTGATAGTGAGTAAATATGTCCACTCAGTTGCTGTCCCAGCGGTATGGGCTTTCGGTCTCAGGGGTACAGTACAAATTTGTAGTCCACCTTGATACTCTTTAGGATGAGTCCAATCCCCGTATTGCCAACCATATTTAACCATTCTTTTTTATTTGCAGTATCGATATGCGTGCCGATATTGCGCGTCCAGTTTACTCGAGCTGTTTCGGCGTATCGAACATAGGTAACGTTGTTGACGTGACCTTTTTTGGTAGTTAATATGAAATGATCCATGAATTGACAATGAGGAGATCAAAAGGCCGGAGCATACCCTATCATCTAGGTTAGCTTTGGTCCAGAAATCCAAGATATCCCAGTAAGCACAACAGGTAGGGGGCACGGATATTCTCACCATAATATCCTAATTTACCACATGCAGACTTAGCATCAATGACTCCCAGAAACTTAGACCAAGCAATATACGCCAAACTCATACCTGTTCTCCCCAAACCACATTATGGCGAAACAGACTACGCCGTTTCTTATCCGTGAGGAATCCCTCACTTCCAGCGATCAATTCACGCCATTCCTTGGCCAATTGCTGTAAAATCTTTCCTCCCTCGTCAACCAGAGGTGGCTTCATCCCAAACATCAAGCACTTCCCAATCCTTCGCTTGGTCATTGTGAGCCATCGTGGATCGATTGGTTTCGAGGCCAAATTAGGGAGGCTTTTGTTAGAGGTTACCGGGGTAGTTGTAGAGAAGAGACAACGCGTGCCATTTGAGTATAGGGAGATTGAGGCAGATACCCGCGCTCGAAATACCGATTGAGAGAGCATGTTGCGTTGTTGTTTAGAGGTAGTTTAACCCCAATGTCGCAATTCAACACTCTCCGATAGCGGATAACCGCCGATAACCGATACAGAAGCTTGGGCCAATATCCCGAGGTGAGTTCGGACAGAACCCCGCGTGAATTAGGGGGTAGCCCGGTATTTATATGATTATATATATATTTAGTAACTCGTTTAGTTTCATAAGTCAATGCAGATAGGAGAGTGAAAATATCCAATTAGCCCAAATTAGGTAGTATATAGCATATAGAGAATCCACATGTCATGGAAAGTAAATCCGCTAGGCACGTCACCGATAACATCCGAAGCCTGGAAGCTTCTCAGCCCGCTTACCTTCATTACACCACATCCGCATCACCAACTTTCTACCAGAACCGTCCCCGTTCTTTGATGGAGCAACAATGGTAAATCAAGAGCTGCGCCGGCAGGTTATTAACGTCTACAAAGGTATGAAGCCGTACACGTCACGGGGCGACTTGCACGCCTTTTCTTTTCAGTCTTAAATTGTCATGCTAACAACCCAAATGTAGAACTTTTGTTCTTAGGACGGGAATATCCTCTAGGCTACCAGTATTTCCGGGATCGGTTACACCGTGCGTTTGCAAGTCAGACTCAAATTACCGACGATGAGCAGATTCGCAAGGGGATAGCCAGGGCCGAGTTTGTGAAGAAAGGTAAGTGTCTTTGTTGCGGGGATTCCTATCTCCCACCCGGTTACAGTTCGGGACATTTCACTAATTGTTCAGTACAGAAGTGGAAGCACTGTAAGACTGGTCCCTACGTCCCTCCCTTGCCACCCTACGTTCTATACACTGGTGCATCTTGCCATCTCCCTCATTCCATTGTCTACATTGCTCGATTACAATTTGGAGGCACAGTGGAATCATTCGTACATGTCATTTTTCTATACATTGCACCCATAATGGGGTAGTGTCTGGCTAGATACACTGTGCATAGATCCACGCCTCATTATCATCGCATCATGCAACTATTTGATCCCTATCACAAGACATTTGGGTTGATAGGAACTGACAGGATAAAAAAAACTTAGGTACTATTTGAAGCGGTACCGAACGCTGAAAAAACGATATGGAAATGAGGCCTGATATTTGGCTCTCACCTCTTCTCTCCAGAAATGTTCAGATCAAATGCATGTTAGAAAGAAAGACAGAACATTGAAATAAAATTGGGGTATCACCAATACAAAGTGCAGAATGGTCGCTACTTGACTTTTGCCCACCGGAACTCCAAATTGACTCAAGGGGTTCATTTCTTTTGACCCCACCAGGCGCTCACTTCAAGGCACTCGCCGCTGGCGAGTCCGCCTTTCTGGAGGAGATCAGCTGTCATTGCAGCCCACCATCGGTCCCATTCGTCACGGCCTTTTCCGCTAGACTCCATCAATATTGGCTCCAACCCTTCAATCATCTGAATTGTGGTGAGGAGAGCCGTGCGCCGGATGGAGATCTGCTCTGGAGTCAAGGCCTTTCGTGGGCGGTTGTTGGAATCCTTCCCTTGGCCATCTCGCTCCCAGCGCAAGTCACCCAGTGGGATTGCGACGCGGCGACTGTCGACATTTTCCAACAAGTCCACTTCGGAGTTGAAGGATAGACCGATGGTCGCGCATGGGAGCGCTGTCAACTTGAGACGGTCGAAGGACTTCTCCACCCAAGAGTTATAATCCACCACGAATTTATTCTGTGCTCGTGTGAATGGTGTGGCAGAGGAGAATGTATAAGTAGCCGTTGCATCGGCGGTTTCCTGTTCTTTTGATGTGGTTTTGCGGGCAGGGGCAGGATTTGGCAGGAGCGAACGGAAGCTCCAATCCGAATCCCATACCTCCAAGATTCCCCCGGATTTTAGCACGCGCAGGGGCTCGCTCAAGCCCGATGCAGATTGTGCTGGACTGGAAGGACACATGCCAGCATCTTTAATGAAAACGAAATCAAAATAGTCGTCCGGGAAGGGCAAGCGGGGTCGGCGTAGGTCATGACGTTTGAATTGCCAGTTCATTCCCTGCTTTCGCATATCTGGTGCGATGGAAATAACATCTATGCCGGCAAAAGCCACATTGGGGCTGCCTCTGCGGGCGAAGTATTCGTGGCACAGACCGGACCAGAGACCGGACCCGCATGCGATCTCCAGGACGCGTTTGGGTGGGCGATTGGCTAGGTGGGGGTTGCAAAATGGGCCGCCGAGGACGCGCAGCAGCATCAACGTGCGGAGGCTTTGGCGGTGGATCTCGGGTAGATCACAGGGCAGAGGGTAGACGTTCTCCGGGTCGCGAAAGTAGGTGCGGTCACCCTGGCGCATCAGAGGGTATGTTGAGTAGTCCGTGAGTGAACTCAGGGACGAGGAGGAGGTTGCGGCCATTGTCGAGCTCAAATTAGAGTGTAAATCAGACCCGGAGGCCACCGAAAACCCCATTGCCATTGCTTCCATATCAATTTCCTCAAGTATCTCGATTGGTGTCCCCTACTCTGAAGATGGGTAGTGGGTTCGGTCGCATTCTCGGCGCACTGAAGATTTCATGAACGAGGCATGCTTTTTCCTGACGAAAAGTTTTTCTTTTTTCCAAGTGGAAGATAATTCCGAGGGAAATAGGAATTAAAATAGAAAATCCCAGAAAAAAAAATATAGCCAGGAAAGGTGACGGGGACCAAAGCGGGTTCGGAAATTATCCCTAGTGCAGCCGGGGCGCAGAAGCTGAAGAAATTTCTTGTTCAACGTCAAACAAAAGCTGAAATTGCAAATAGTCCTTTGGTTTTGAGTAGATGTAAATTATTTAAGAAGAAGAAACGGGGGAGGGAGAGAGAAGTGGAAAAAAAAGAGGCCTAGTCCTGTTAATTGAACCCCTGGAAGTTGAATATCCACTCGAGTCTAGTCTCTTCATAGTAAAACATTCAATACTTTAGTCAAAGAATTATACCAATTGTAACATAACCAATAGTATCTATTCTGTTTTACCCTTGATCCTTGGCCTATTTTTGATAGTTGACATCATGACTCTCATTGAATCCATACAATATAGCCATGGCTCAGTTGGCCGGAAAGGGAAATTCTGGGCGAATGGGCTACCTCGCTCGGTACTATGATCTTGTATATTGACGTTTATTTTCAATTCAGTAGAATATATAGAATATACTTCTATGACTTAAGCCCCTTGCTCTAGATTGATAAGATACAATGTGCTTACAAGCATTATGTATATATGCCAACGGTTTTGACTGGGATAGACAAGAAAAGGGGAAAGGAAAAATTTGAAAGCCCGGAAATTCCATGCCTATATAGGTACATAGTTATAATAGTCTGGCCACTCTGAGACTTAGCCCCCGTTACCTCTCTATCTGATACAGTGTATCGGGTTACCCCGTGGCCCCAACGCTAAGTCTCAGGCACTTGTTCATCGGCTATTCCACGCGATCGGCTTGGTCTTACTGTGATCCGTGCTTTTATTCCCGGGAGTGAATATTGGGTTAAACGTACTCTGCAGACCAACACGAGAATCTGATCGACATAGTTTCTGCCACGTACCTTTTATTGGAACTAGTGTACCTCTTTTTAAGACAGAGTGGCGGAGTTAAGAGGCAAATACGGTAAGAAGATGAAACTGTGAATTTAGTTGTGTTGATACGAAGTACAAATAGAGGCATCACTTTTTGCGAATATGCGAGTATACTAGGTCTGTGCTACCTTGCAGAAGTACGGAGTACATATGTATTTGAATATCTCCATATTAATTAGAGCCGGAACTTGACTAGGCATTTCACTATAAAGATTATCTTCAAACCCCCTCTGAACATCATAAGGTTTGATAGCCTTTTACTCCATATAGTTACCATATTTGGATGATGTTATAAGGCAATCACCAATGATCATCATAATAATAATATAATTTACCCTCTATAGAATGTTATGCCCTAATCATATGATTATAGAATTTGTGGAAGAGCAACGATCAGTCCATTAGTGACTTCTCTCCCAGCAGTTTACGCGAAGGGGAAGCTTGCCTTGAACTACTTTTTGAGACATAAGATTCCCCTATGATTCTCATAAAGGATGAGATTGAAAAACCAGACTCAATTTTAAAAGTACATATTATTAATATCAACCATGGCTTAGACTAGATAGGTCATTGTCCATGGTCCATTCTTTCAATCTTC